ACATTGAACGTTTTAAATTTCTGAACAGCGAGTATAAGTCGAGATTCTTAACCACACGATGGCTTGTAATCTTTGTGTTGTGGAGTTGTTCACTCAGACACTCTCTGCTATTGCTTTGGCCATGCATGTATGCGCATGCTCTCGTGACTGGTTGCCCATCTGTAGTTATACTCGGATATGAAAGTATACTAATTATAAGCGCATACTATACTGCGTACAATATACTTAGAGCATTCCCACACATCGGTCACTCACTATCACCCACACCTACAGCTTCACCTACCCTTCTTATTGGTGGGTAGCAAAGTGATGGGGTCGAAGCTGAACATGATCTCCATGAAATCCGACGCGTTTCTGACGTCAATGACCGCCTCAGACACGTGTAGTGCATACAGTGGTGTGGGACACGTGTACAGCGTGTGCGGTAGTCGGAATAGGCAGTCCGTAATCCTGCGTTTTGATTGGACAAGATATCAGTATATTTATAGAACACCCGGCATTGAAACGTGCAGTGCATACAGTGGTGTGGGACACGTGTACAGCGCATGCGGTAGTCGGGATGGGCAGTACTAAATCCTGTGCTTTGATTGGATAAGGTACGAGTCTATTTATAAAATGGCGGGTGTATATCTAGGCATTCTGTCAGCCTGATATATTATGGGCTATGGTGTGTTATTACGTTATGACTGACCACTTCTCGCACGCACTGAACGAACACCGCACTGAAGCAAACCTGTGAATGGGCGATGTCTCAGGGAATGTCACATCCTAGAGATAGACATGAACTCAAAGGCACATGACAGTACACTTCAACACCCTTAATTCAACTATGACAACGTGTCATGACACACTCCCGTGCATAGCCATCCATACTCACAGCCATACACACGTACACCCTCCACCATACATAGCCATACCTGATGAACACACAAGCACCTCTGCATTATAATGTACCTCGCACTCGTGCACACTCATGTCGTGGTAGTCTAGTTGCAGCGCGTGTGCTATCACAGTCATACACACGCACACACTCCCCCATCCATAGCCATGCCTGATGAACACAAGCACCTCTGCATTAATA